GCGGCCGGGCCGCGATGGCTTCAGGGTGGGGCCGCGATGGCGTCAGGGAGGGCCGCGACGGCAGGGCGGCAGGGCCGCGACTGCAAGGTGGCAGGGCCGCGACTGCAGGGCAGGGCCGTGACGGCAGGGTAGGGCCGCAACGGCTGCAGGGAGGGCCGCGACGGTAAGGCGGCAAGACCGCGACGGCAGAGCGGCAGGGCCGCGACGGCAAGGCAGGGCCGCGACGGCTTCAAACAGGGCCGCGACAGCAGGGGCCGCGACGGCAGGGTAGGCGCTCGGGAAGCAGGTGAGGCAGGCGCAAGGCGCGCGACAGGGGCAGGAGCGCGCTTCGGGCAGGGCAAGAAAAAATAATTTAAGTGGTGGGCCCTAAAAACGGTCCCACTAGGGAACCCGCTCTATACCATGTGAGAATAGTACGAGGAATGAGAATGACTAGGAAGCAGGTGGGTACAAGTAATACAAGTGTTGTACCCCATATTGTCTACCCTACTACAGCCTACATAGACTATAGCATATAAGTTTGATAGAGTAGGACAGCGAACGTCTTGTAGGTTTGCCTTAATCAATGTAAATGTAAATGACAAGATGGTAATGATATAGTCCTAGCTAGCCATATACTCTGAGGGGTACATTCCCTTATTAACAGTAATACATGTATCGATATAGTAACAGTTAGCTAATTGCAGTGGCTATTGCAATTCCATTCAGTTACCACATTGCAGCGCGAAACTCTCGAGGCAGTTGCGACCTACAAAGTAATTCACAACCTCTTGGTCCAGGATGGTCAACAGTCGCGACTGTTGACATGCGTGCCTTATATGGACTAACGCGGTAGTGGTATAGGTGTTGCTTCGCTAAGAGTAGGTGCGATAAGATAACGCCTACTGGAATGCTTAAAGATAGCGGAAGTCTATAGAGACCTTGCTATAGAAAATGTAGAACTAACAAGTTGATAAATAATAGAATTACAAAAACATATATTGCTTCTGTCATCACTACAGTTGCAATGACTATTGCTAACACTTCTACGGTTAGCAATGTGTAACCCCCGATGATAGTTGTGACCGCTGACTTTCCCGACTGTTCACCTTCGCTGCCAGGGCTGACGTTTCAAGAAAAAAACACTCAGATTTTTCGGGGGGAAAAGAAACAAACTAGTCCAAGGGTCATTTACCAGAATTTGGCTAGTCTGAAATTTCAGGACTCAAAGGTAGTCTGAAACTTGAGTTTCATGAGGGGGGAGAGGCAAGAAATAACGCATGATTCAGGTTTGAAAATGAATGGCGAGAAAACTTCGAGACTAAAACAGGGGGGGTTGTGGAAAGTGGTTGGGGAAAGGGCAGAAATGAATGGGAGTTTGGATACACGAGCCGAACTTCTGCTAAAAATACTAGCATACAGTACCACATTGTATGCAAACGCAGTATCGTGAGAGTCTGAACTTTGAAATTTTCAGTGTTCTTAACGAGTAACTCTAAAGCAATTAGGGTTTAGAAAATGGGGATTCTGAAAAAAAAGGAATCTCGAAAAAAAAATATGTGAGATTTCAGGCAATCATACTAAAATAGTACGATAATGTTAGCCCTGTTCGCTTCGTGTCCTGTGCTTTGGTAAGTAACAAAGAAATATGCACTAGCGAGTACGAATGTGAACGGTTAGAGTTACGCAAACCTTCGCGTACAGTTGGAAGCATCTGGACCGACAGCGACAGAAGCATCGAGTAGCTACGCTGCCAGGGAATTGGCGGGAACAGGTTTGTAAACGGTTCCCGCGCCGCACAGTTAACTCTCGCTGAAATAAGGGATTGTATTCATTTAAAGTATATGGTTAATTTAGGACCCTTCACATTCCATATAATTCCTATATAAACCCTTATATTATTTTGTTATGATCACTTCAGCCATTTATATTCACTCTGATATGAGGTCACTCAAGTCCTCTTTGCGGTCGTATCATGCTATGAGAGTGACTTTGGAATACTTCGCACTGCCACCTCCGAATGTTTGGGCGAACTAAAGGTGACGTCCGGCACATGCTCGCACGTAAGGATGGACGGAGGATCAGGAGGTCAGACAAATCTGACGGCTGAAGCGCAACCAACTTGTAACATAACATTAAACTTCTAAAGATAAATCTCATGATCTTGGTAAGGTCTGGTGGTTTGATTTTACCCTCGAGTTATTTATAAGAGGGTTGGTACTTGTGGAGGGTATTTTACTCAGGTTTTCCCTTTATTCATATTCATGTAGCTGAGATTTGCATTATGGAGGATGGTCTGGTCCTAAGGAAGGTTCCTTGGAAATAGGAGTAAGGAGAAGGTTCCTTGGAAGGTGGCTAGTTGGAAGCTTCCTTGGTGGAGGCTATAGAAGGATCGACTGGGGAAGCAACCTGGAAGGAGCAACAAGGAAGACAACAAGGGAGGTTCTATGGTGTTGATTCCCTTGGAGATCTGGGTGAGCTCAATGGAACACTCCAATTGGTTGGTTGAATTGCTAGGATCCTCGGCCAATAAGGAAAGGATTCTTAGGATTGCATGAATAAGATAGAAGGATGGTGGTTTGGGTATACACTTCCACTATATAAAGTCTTTGTATGTTGTGTGTAACTCATATTCTCATAATGCATTCTCACCAATGCCACAAGACCTGTAGCTAACTTGTACCTTGGCCCACTCAAGCTAGCTTGGAGTACCCATGGAGACTACCTTAGGAGGAGCATCTCTTCAAGTGGAGAAGAGCCCGAGGGGAGGGCTGCAACTTTACAAGGAAGGAAGTGCTGACCAAGAGAGAAGTCTCGTACTACAAGTGTTGTAAGAGAGGTCATACGTATCCAGGTGATGCTCAAGAAGGGTGCTCGAGAAAACTTAAAAGTTAGTGATTTTGTGGTGGCCCATACAAGTTCCTTTTTCCCTTTGGCTGAGAAAACGGACCTTGGGCGTGAACCTACTAACAACATGTCGACGATTGCTGCAGCTGTGGCCCATCTCCCGCGGTTCAATGGACGCTCTCCCGACCCCAAGGTGTGGCTGAGCCAAGCCAAGAGGGCGTTGAGGTGCTTCCTCTCGAACACGACGGACGGGCAGAAGCTGGACTACCCCCTCATGCACCTCACCGATGCTGCCTATGTGTAGGCGGAAAGCAAGGACTTCAAGACAGTAACAGGCTTCGAATTGGCTTACAGTGGGCGGTTCGTGTGGGATTTGACGACAACGGTGATGCAAAAGTTAGCGGTGTTGAAGCAGGAGGGGAAATCGGTGACGGAGTTGGCGGACAAGGTGAGGCAATTGGCCTCGTACGTAAAGGACTACCTGACCGCCATGATGGCGAAAGCTAATATTGAGAAATTGGAGGATCCGGGGTTGAGGGAGAAAGTGTTGGGTGCTAGGCCGATATCGTTAGTGACAGAGGAGGAGGCCGCCAAGTGTAGGCATGCAAGTATATGTATATAGATCACAGTACAAGCAAAGTCACGAAGTGAGCAAGTGACACAAAGCAGTCACAAGGCCTAAAGCAGTACAGAAACGCTGATGATCACCAGGCTGAAGTGCCTTGGTGAATATATCAGCAGTGTTGGCCCGAGTGGCCACGTAAGCAAGACAAAGCTGACCACGCTGCTGCAACTCTCGAGTAAGGAAGTAACGCAGAGCGATGTGCTTCGTCCTGTGCTCCAGTCTGTGCTCCCGACACAAGGCAATCATGGCCTTGTTGTCTACGTACAGAACTGGAGGAGAACGAGGCGGCTCTCCCAAGTCGGTCAGCAGGTAGGTGAGCCAGCGTAACTCCGGAGAAGTACCGAGCCAGGTGGCGGGAGAAACGACGACGACGGCAGAACGAAAAATGGTCTCCGCTGCACAGTGCCTCCAGCACCAGTACCGCCAGCTCCAGTGAACACCCCCAGCGCCAGCACCTCCAGCTCCAGCGCCTCCAGCTCCAGCGCCTCCAGCTCCAGCGCCTCCAGCTCTAGGGTCTCCAGCTCCAAGGCCTCCAGCTCCAGCGCCTGCAACACCACCAGCTCCAGTACCTCCAGTACAAGCACCTCCGGGACCAGCAGCGCCAGCACCTCCGGGACCAGCAGCGCCAGCACCTCCAGCACCTCTAGTACAAGCAGCACCACCAACACCAACAGCTCCAGCACCTCTAGTAACTCCAGCTCCAGCTGTACCTCCTGCACCTCCAGGACAACAGCTCCAGCGCCTCCAGCTCCAGTGCCTCTAGCGGCAGTGCCTCCAGCAGCAGGGCCCGCAACTCCAGCAGCGCCACTCCGAAGGCGGGTGCGCCGAGCAAACCACTCGCGCAGCTGCTGTGGTGAGAGAGGCTCCCGCCGGTGAGACCGCCGTGACGAGGCACCCGGAGGACCTCTAGCAGACACAGTACATTCAGGCTCAGCATCCCCAGACCCATTACCCTCCGGCTCACCACCCCCAGGCTCTGAACCCTCAGGCTCAACTTCCCCAGGCTCCACACCCTCAGGCTCAGCACCCTCAGGCTCCGCACTCTCAAGCTCAGCACCCCCAGGCTCCGCACCCGCAGGCTCAGCACCCCCAGACGTAGCTCCCCTAGCAGCAGCACCACCAGCAGCACCAGAGTCAACAGTAACCTCGACACGCTCAGCCAAGGGGAGTGGGTCTACCTGAGACACACCTGAGGGAGCAGGACCCTGAGGGGGGAGGGGGTTTACTGGAGGGGGACGTGGAGCGAGGAAGAGCGGCGAGGGGGGGAGAGGGGCAGTGCGGTAGGGGAAGAGACGGTAAAAGGGAACCAACTTGTCAAACAAGACTTCCTGAGAGGGCAGGACACGGCGCGAGGTGGGGTGGTAAAACTGCCAGCCAGACGCGTCAGGGGGAAAGCCAAGACACAGTGAATGGTGCGGGAGGAGAGCTTGGCACGAGAGCCCCAGACCCGGAACACCGACGCATCGCCAACCTCTCCCGTCCAACGTAGTGTAGGCGAGGTCTCCAGCAAGGAGACACGGGGCCAGAGGTTGAGCTGATACGCAACGTACTAGACCACAAACGGCCACAGAAAATGGGGAGCAGCCGCATGGATCATGGAGGTACGAGCAACCTCCATGACTAAGCCAATGCAGCGCTCAGCAATCCCATTCTGCTGCGGGGAGGCCGGAAGTGTGAACGTCTGATGGATGCCCTCCCCACTACAAAAGTCCCGCAAGAGTTTGGAGGAGAACTCACCACCTCTCTCAGAGAGCAAACGCAGAACACGAAGGTCCTGGCGGAACCGCTCGCGGAGCTGGAGACGGAGAGTGCAGATGAAAGGGATCAAGACATCATGGACCTCCCCCTTGCTGCGCAAGGGGAAGACCGTGGTGTAATGCGAGTAGTCGTCGACAACCAGCAGAAAGTAGCGCTCGCGGCCCTGTCCACTGACGTGGGCTAGGCCCCACACGCCCATGTGGAGAGTCTGCAGGGGAGCAGTCGTCGGGGGAAACGAGGAGGAGTGAGGAGCGGCGCGCTGCCGCCCCTCGACGCAGGGAAGGCAGGGTGGGGAAGGGGAGGGCAGGAGGGGAGGCAGAGACCTGGGAAGACCAGAGACAAGGAGGCGGGAGTGCATGCCATGGAGGCGTGGCAGGGAGGGGTGACCAAGGCGGTGGTGCCAAAGGAGAGTCTGGTGCGACAGGAGGCGACACGAGCAGGGGGCTGCTACCTGACCTGACGCGGACACCTGACCAGACGCAGCTACCTGAGGAGGCGCAGTAGTCTGTGTGTACAGACTCGACCCAGGCCGACGGGTGAACGTGGCCAGGTGACGGCCCGTCCGTGTACACGTGCAGATCGCCACACGCTGACCCCTCGGAGTGGTGGTAGTGACCATCCCATCCTGGAGGGCTGCGGTACTCACCAAGTTCGTAGAGAACGAGGGGAGGTGAAGACCTGACAGTGAGCCAGACGGAACCGCCGGACACGGGAGCACAGTGGAGGAACGTGCAAGAACTCGTCCTCTTGAGGGGTCGGCCAGAGAGACTGCAACCGGTGCAGGGAGTGGTGTGATTGTGGCGCTGTTGCGAAAGAAACAGCGGGAAGCACCTGAGTCAAGAGTGAAGGTGTGCAAGGCCTGTGCAGGCTACCAGAGAGAGCATACTCACTAGCACCTAGAGCAGTAGCCTCTATACCTGGGTCGGGCGGCACACACAGGTAACCGTCACCGTCAGCATTAACAGTCAAAGCATACATGCCAGCAAGGATAGCGTCATAGTCAAGAGCAAATATATCCACATCGTTCCTAAGTAGCTCTAGCCAGCGGGGGAGCTCAGCCTCGTCGCCAAACTCTACGCGCTAGGTGTCGTCAAGGCAGGAGAAGCAACGGTACTGTGTGTGACCAACCTTCCCGCATGTCTGACCAGCGCAATCACCTGTTCGAATGACGTACGGGCAGCGAACACTACCCCCAGACGCGCCCCACTGAGCAAACCACTCACGAAGCTGCTGGGGCTAATGGTCTCGCGCGGACGCTGCTGCTGCTGCCTCTGGCCACCGCCAGAACCTCCCCTCTGGCCGGTTCCACCCCGACCGCCACCACTGCTGCCGCCACCACTCCCACTGCCGCCACCACCGCCGCCACCACTCCCACCGCTACCACCACCGCCGCCACCACCTCCTTTACTCCCACCACCACTCCCACCACCACCACCGCCACCTCCACCGCCTCCACCGCCTCCATCGCCTCTACCACCTCCTCCACCGTTGCCACCCCCACCGCTCTTGCCTCCCTTGCCCTTGCCGCTGCGGCGCCTCCCACTAGGAGCAGACGCAGCCCCAACCTCCTCAGCACGAAGGAAGTCAACAGCAGCAGCAGAAGCGACAGAGGGGGCAAGGGGGGAGGGGGAACACCCCTCAAAGAAGGGAGTGCGAGGAGTGCCACGAGAAGCGCCTATAGCGACTATGCTAGTCTCAGCTGCAAGGAGGTGCTTCTCGAGCAGGTCGACAGTGAGGTCTGTGGGGTCAAGGGTGAGAAGGATGTCCCTGACTGCGCGAAGAGAGTCAGGGAGGCGGGTGACGATGAAGTAGAGAGTGATGTACATGGGGGGGGGGGGGGGGGGGGGGGGGGGGGGGGGGGTTCTTGTCTAGAAACTCGGTTTTAAGTGCGGCGCAGTAGCGAGTGTCGCTAGTGCGAAGGTGGGTGATGAGGTCGTCGACTATGGCAAAGGCTGACAGCTCGGGAAAAAGGTAGGGCAGTATAATTCGGCAGAGAGCAGCAGTGGCAGGGGAGGAGTAACGAGTGACTATTGCGTCGAACAGCGCTTTGGCAGTCTTGTGCTTTGGCAGTCTTGTGCTGGCCAAAATGCGCGCTTTCGGCTAACGGCAGGTGGTTGCGAACGGCTAGGCGAGCAGCAGCGTCACGGGTAAGCCACTGTGAGCGAGTCGCACTGTCAGCTGTGTCGGGAGGAGCAAGAGAGGTTCCAGACGTGTGGTCAAACAAGGAGACGCCATCCCCAGATTCGCTCTATAAGTACAGCTGTAGGTCGTCTAGCCAGGACTCAAACTAGATCAGACGGCCCCCAGGATCGAAAGTGAGAACACTGAGAGAAGCAATAGCGGGCAGAGTAGGGTGGCGCGCGACCAGTAGGGCAGCATGCAGGCAAGGACGGCGCGATGAGCAGGGCGGCGCGCGAGCACTAGGGAAGCGCGCAGGGCATGGCGAGGTGGCGCACGGCTAGGGAAGAGCGGCGCGCGGCCAGGGCAGGGTGGCGCAACTGGCAGGGCAGGGCGGCGCGCGGCTAGCAGGGCGGTGCATCGGGCAGGGCAGGGCAGCGCGCGGTCAGCAGGGTGGCGCGACGGGCAGGGCAGGGTGGCGCGCAGCTAGCAGGGCAGCGCGACGGGCAGGTCAGGGCGGCGCGCGGCTAGCAGGGCGGCACGACGGGCAGGGCAGGGCAGCGCACGGCCAGCAGGGCGGTGCGACGGGCAGGGCAAAACGGCGCGCAGCTAGCAGGGCGGCGTGATAGGCAGGGCAGGGCAGCATGACTGGTGGGGCAGCGCGACGGGTAGGGTAGGGCGCTATAGGCGGGGTAACGCGCTACGGGCAGCGAACTATACGGTGGGCCCTAAAAAAAAACGGTCCTGGAACAGGACCTGCTCTGAAACCATGTGAATGGAATGGACGGGAATGAATTAACTAAGATCAAAGTGGGTACAAGTGCTAACCCTAAACTGGGTTGTACCCCTTATGGGCTACCCCACTACAGCCTACACAATATAAGCATCATAACATTTTGACACTAACAAGGGAAGGGCAACCATGAATGTGATGCAACAACTCATGGAGAAACTTAAATGGCGAAGATGGAGTAGATATGTTGGTGGGAGAACTGAAGAGGCAGGCGGTTATGGATCCGAACGGATGGAGCATTCATGAGGCAAGGGAGAAATTGAGGAAGAAGCTAGCGGATGAAGGAGAAGTGGCAAAGGGGTCGAGGTTTGTGAGGGGAAAGGCGAGGATCTCATCCCTCCCCACTTCCTACGACGTGGTCGATCAACTTAAGCTCACACCCATAAGTGCAAGTGTGTGGAACTAATCAAGGATAGTGAGAAGGTGAGAAAGGAGCTAATGAAGGCTTTGAGGAAAGGGTAGGAGGATAATGAGGAGGGGGCAGCCACTATGCAAGGGGTGGCGAAGGTAGTGGCAGTCGCATCGGTGGAGGTTAAGGGGAAGAAGGCGCCTAGAGCTAGTATCATGATTTTCCAAATCCCACAGTGCAACGTATACCTCGGTGACCGCCATAGTTGATTCGGGAGCCTCCCAAATTGCCCTATCACACGTGATAGCTACGAAGCTTGGACTACTACCATACCTCCTAGATACCACCATGGAGTTCACCACCTCTAGCGGGGAGACTTCGAAGCCGTGGGGGATCTTACCTGATGTGCCGGTCAGGGTAGGGAAGCTGACTCTACCAGTGGATATAGCAGTGACGGGAGCAAATACCTACGACATGCTCCTAGGGAATGACTGTATTTATTCGTCCAACACGGACATCTTGACTAGTCAGGGGAAGATAGTATACCAAGTCAACACCAAGGCGAACGACTCGGTCCCTATCACTACAGGACCATTGGGTGGTGGTGGCAGCCCTTCTTTTGTGCTCCTCCCCTCCCACGCAACCTATAGGAACATTAATGAGGATGATGAGGAGCGCATCAAAGCATGGATGGAGGAGGTGGATATTCTAAAGTGGATGGAGGAGAGGAGGATAGCCATAAAGGGAGAATGGAGCTGAATGCTGGAGGAGGTGGATATTCTAAAGTGGATGGCGGAGGAAGAGGGAAGGATGGAGCTGAATGAGGAGGAGGAAGATGAGTATTATTTATGGTTACGGGAGCAGGAAGAGGAAGAAGGGAAGGAGGAGGCTACGAGCGAGGAGGAATCCATTGAAGGAGGAGAGGAGGAGCTCAAAGATGTAGGAGGAGAGGAGGAGGCATGGGGATATAACTTTGGGAGCCCAACGACGGATGAGGTAGGAGCTTGGGCTAGTGGAGGCACAAGGATTGACTGGGATAAGGCTTATGATGAGATGGTGGAGGAGTATGTGGGACAAGAGGACGAGGTCGAATGGGAGATGGACTCCATGGGGGACGGGGAGGAGTATTTAGACCAAGATTGCGAGGATGGGGAGCTGATTTATGATAGGAGGAAGCCGATAAGTACGGACCATCTCTTTGAATTACGTTAGCTGAGAAGTTGAATTACGTGGCAGCCGAGCTAGTGGAGCAGCAACAAAAGGAGGTGCGACCCTCTGTTGGTGGAGTATAGGGGACATTTTCTCCACTGAGACAAAGACGCTAGAAACCCATCCCACTATCCGCCACCACATTTCCACCGGCAACGCTAAGCCCATAGCCCACAAACCCTACCGAGTCTCACCTTCCGAGCGTGCTAGGTCGAGGAGGCTAATACCCTGCTCAAGCAAGGATTCATTCGCCCTTCGAACAACCCATGGTCGACCCCATGCATAGTCATCCCTAAGGACTTTGGGGATAGGGTAGTAATCGATTACCGCCCTCTCAACGCCGTGACCGAAGCAACCGATCACTTTCTCATGCCACGGATAGATGATATATTGGATAAGACAACAGGGTCACTCTACTTCTCGGTGCTCGATGTGAAATCCACCTGTCACAACATCCTTGTAGAGGAAGAGAACGTTCCCAAGACGGCATTTGTCACCTCCACGGGTCAGTACGAGTACACACGGATGTCATTCGGGCTTAAAAATGCACCGGCCACTTTCCAACGTCTCATGACCACCATCAGCACGTACACTAATGCCATCCCATACCTAGACGACATCATTGTCTTTTCCAACAGTTGGGAGGAGCACCTTGAGCATCTGTTCTCATGAAATGTCATGTGTGGTCATGGGCTGTCATGATCGCAAAAGGCCATGAATTTTCATGGGATTCCATGAGTAAGTATGGACTACACAATTGCGCATGGGCGAGTATGTCACCATCAATTAAGCATTGGAACAGGCTGTCATTCCGAAGTGTGGTTCCAGTTATTATTTCAGTAGGCTGATTGCTTTTGCTTTTGATGGGTTAGTATATTTCTTTGCATGTGTATTTATCGAAGATGTCATTCTTGCTTTTATTATTGGAATTCTACTACTACGTATCGACGAGAGTAGAAACACAACGAAGTGCTGCCGAAACTCTGCTAGACCAGAAAACTCACTCTACGTGCCACGTTGAGCATAACTACTCACTTGTTTTCTACGCCCTTGGCTATGAGGTGACATGCTGTCACACTCGGGGGGTTACAAGTGATGTTAAGTGTTGCCTAACTTACGCTTGTGAGCCGAGTTTAATCGCTTCCGCATAGTACTTTGATGTATCAGCGAGGACCAGCACTCGAGTGAATTTACTACAGTGATGTGGCCCACGGGGAGAAAACGTGGGCGCAGTTTCGGGCAGACCTCATCGAACGTTTTGAGCCAATTTATTCGGTGTACATGGCGCGGCAGCAGATTCACCGACACAAGCAACTTGCGACTGTAGCACTGTACACGCAGCAGATGGAGCAGCTTTTCGCCCGCATCATCGACCTGACTGAGGGCGAAAAAATCCAGGCGTACACAGAAGGGTTAAAAATGGAGATTCGCCGGCAGGTCATCGCAGCGAACTATAGTAACTACCGCGGCCTCGTACGTGCAGCCGAACGTTACGACGCCTTGACGCGTGGTCAACCAGAAACACGATGTTACAGGCCGAACCGTACATTCGGCACGGAGCGATCGGCACCCCCCACGTTCGCCGAACCGATGGATATCGACAAATTTGACGCGAAGCAGCAACCGACTAAATACGAATTTTGCGGCGCAGCCGGACATAAAATCTTGTCGTGCTACAAAATGAAAAAAACACTTGCGGCACTGCTGAGTGGCAACAGTATAGCACCCCCGAAGTAAAAAAACGGGAATCGCCAGTAGCCGCGGATCGACCTGGCGATCGCGTAAAGATCCGAAAAGGGAAAAAGGGCGACGACGTAGCGACTTCGAAGCGGGCGAAAAAAGGAGAAAATGATGGCGCGAATATAAAACGTCACGACCGGCCGGCATCAGGGGAAATCGCCGAGGCGAATGGAGGCTCCGCGAAAAAAGACTCTGCACCGACCGGGAAACTCCAGCCGAACACCCACGAAAGTAAGAATTCGTTAAAAGTATCCTATAAAGATACTCTAACGAAAAATATTGCTTCTCGTGGTTTTCAAGCCTTTGAAAATTTTAGGGGAGATTTGGAGGCCAAGAAAAAGCCTCCAGATATTATTCAGGTACCTGAGAAGTTGCGCAAAGCATTACGAAGCGTAGAAAAGGGTCGTGCGTTCCGTGGAGTTAATATTCTCTCCCCGCAGCACAGTGTTAAGGCTCCCCGTTGCCCACAGGTGAAGCCTACATAGCTGCAAAGGCTTAGAGGAAAATTCCAGGCTCATGAGAAGTTGTACAAGCCTCGGAAAAATCCTCCTACCCCCCAGGTGAAGTTGGAAAGTGCTGAGTCAGGTATAGGAAATAGGGATGGTAATATCTTTGATGTACCCTATGATCGTATCAATGAGACCCTCTTTGGCTACTCAGCGCAGCAGAAACCACTACTCCTCGAGGTGTTATGCAAAGGACGACGCCTCCAGGCACTGGTGGACAGCGGTGCATCTCACTCAGTGTGTGACCGCGGGACGTTGGAGAAAATTGGAGAACCTTCGGAGGAGACCAAGTTCACGGCAACGATAGTGGACGGTACGAAACTTCCCAACCATGGAGAAGCATCAATGCAGCTGCACATAGGGGCGCTGAGGTGGAAGCCGACTTTGCCGATCACGAACATCAAGGGTTTAGATTTCATCTCGGGGCAACATTTCTTGAAGCGGTTCAACCCCGAGATCGACTGGGTCAACAGGAACGCATGCATCTACAATAACGGGAGATGAGTTGAGCTGCGAAGCTGGACTGATACAGGGAACGTTCTTGAATTGACACTGGCACGATTCGAACGGACGGTGAACGAGAGCGACATGGGTTGCTTGTCACTGGTTATGGCAGCAGTAGAGGAGGAGAAGCCGAACGCAGAGCTACCCACAGAAGTAAAGGAGATCTTGGAGCAGTACAAGGATATAATGCCCGACGACCTACCTGCAGGCGTACCTCCAGCACGCACCCACGAGCACGAGATCGTGGAGGAACCAGGTGCGAAACCTGTCTCACGTGCACCATACCGACTAAGTCCGACCGAACTAACAGACATGAAGAAACAGATCGAGTATCTTTTGGATAGACAACTGATCCGCCCATCCACCTCTCCCTACAGTGCACCAGTTCTCTTCACTCCAAAACCAGACGGTAGTTTACGGATGTGCATCGACTACTGCGCACTGAACAAAAAGACAATAAAAAACAAATATCCCATACCGCGCATAGACGACCTACTGGACCAACTGCGTGGTGCAACAGTCTTTTCGAAGCTGGACCTACGGTCGGGTTACTAGCAGATCAAGATGGCGGACAACTCGATCCACAAGATGGCGTTCCGTACCAGATACGGCTCCTACGAATACTTGGTGATGCCGTTCGGACTCTGCAACGCACCAGCAACGTTTCAGGCAGAAATGAATCACATCCTCCGGCTAGATGAGTGCGTGGTGGTGTACCTGGACGACATTCTCATCTACTCCAAGAACATGAAGGAGCACGTGGAGCATCTGCGGAAGGTGTTCGAGATCCTGCGGAAAAACAAGTTCTACGTGAAGCTGTCAAAGAGCGACTTCGCCCTGAAGAAGGTGCAGTTTTTCGGGCACATGGTGAGTGCCGAGGGCGTACACGTGGACCCACGGAATATCGAAGCCGTCAAGAAGTGGAAAGTTCCGGAGAAGATAAAGGAGTTGCAACAGTTCCTAGGCTTTGCCAACTACTACAACAGGTTCGTGCCGCAGTACGCTAAGATAGCAGCGCCACTAACCGACCTACTGAAAAAGGATACGCCCTACAAATGGGATACTCCTCATCAGCAAGCCATGGAGCAGCTACAGACAGCACTGACTACAGCACCAGTACTTATCTTACCATATCCAGACAAGAACTACGTGGTGGAAGCAGACGCTAGTGACCAAGCAGTCGGAGCAAATCTGATGTAGGATCACGGACGCGGTTTGCAGCCCATCGCCTACCTCAGTAAGAAGCTACACGGAGCAAAACTGAACTACCCCATCCATGACAAGGAAGCCTTAGCAATAGTCATAGCCTTCAAGGCGTGGAGGTGTTACCTAGAGGGAGCCAAGACTACAGTCTATACTGACCACTGCAGCCTCAAATACCTGAAGTCGCAGCCGACGCTCTCACGACGACAGGTGCGGTGGGTGGACTTCCTGGAAACTCACTTCCGCTACAACATCGTCTACAAGCCCGGGCTACACAACAAAGCAGACGTGTTGAGCCACCCCGGTCACGTAGCAGGCATCCAGCTCGACAGGATGAACCCTCTGCTCAAGCAGGGGTACTCCGTGGACGCAGAGATTGCTACAACAGAAAAGCCAGAACAGTGGGAGAAATACTTCGCTGTAAGGAAGGGCACAGGAAAGATTTGGGTACCGAACTATGCCCCGCTCCGACAGATTCTACTGGAGGAGTTTCATGACGTACCATACGCGGGACATTTTGGGAGCAACAAGACGTTAGCAGGGATAGCACGACGTACCATACGCCAGTATTACTATGGCCCGGGATGGCAGCAGACGTGCAGCAGTTCGTCACCTCATGCGACACGTGCCAGCAGATGAAGAGTAGCAAGCAGAAAAAAGCAGGTTCACTTCAGCCTCTACCCGTACCGGAGCAGCCATGGCAGGTCGTTAGCCTCGACTTCATCACGGGACTTCCTTCGACCTCACGAGGGCATGATGCTATACTCGTGGTGATCGACAAGTTCTCTAAAATGGGTCACTTCATCCCGACCAACGCCACGGCTACAGCTGAAGCAACTGCTCGCCTCTTCTTCGACCGCATCATCACCATCCACGGCATCCCCGCTACACTCATCTCAGACAGAGACCCCAAATTCACGAGTAAGTTCTGGAAGGAGCTCATGGGACTGTTGGGGACAAAACTTGCGATGTCTTTAGCATACCACCCCCAAACCGACGGACAGACAGAGCGACTCAATCAGGTGGTTGAACAGTTATTGCGCACAGCTT